CAAGTCCGGTGTGCCACCATTTTAAATTACTTGTTTCCCCTTGGTCAGTCTCAACTAAGGCAAAACACAATTGAGGTCATGTAGAGACCTAAAGAGAGAGCGAGAGAGAGAAAGAGAGTAACAAAGACAGACCTAGCCCCTCTCTTCGTGTCTCCAACTCTGGTTCCGTATTCTGCTTTTAGTCTTCTTGCTCTACTTACCCTTAGTCACCACCCTAACCAGCTCTATTGAATCCTTGTTACTGTCTTTGTCTGAAAAAATCCTGTGTACACTTTTCCTTTGGTTTCAAGAAGACCAATCACATGGTTCAGGGTAAGCATCGGTGTGACTGTTTGCAGGAGAAGGACAGAGGTTTTCAGAAGGAAAAGAAAATTGGCCAGCAAATTGCTCAGTTAATGCATGGTTAAGTCTAGCCCCGACCCCTTGAATGGCAGAGTATCTTTGGAGACAGGCAGCCTTTGCTTCTAGAGCGTTTTGAAGGTTTGGCTGTTCACTAGAAAGCTCTTCTCAACTTTAACTCCACAACTTAATGTAGTACAAGAGTCTAATGGGTTTTGAGGTTGCTGTTGCTCACTACACTCCATATATATAATATCCCCAGGGTCTATCATGGCATGATATTGCAGGAACTACAAATTAAAAACTACATTTTCATCTACACGTCGTCAACATTTTAGTGTCCTTCAGCTCCCAGAAGATGAATATTTTCCAATAATCAAATTTTTGATTGGATAACACAAAAGGCACAGCAAGGTCTCTCATGTCCCTCCCTACTCAGGCCATAATATACAGCCTCATAATTTGGGTATTAAAATTTCATCAATGATAGCTTTACACTAATAATCACAAACAATGAGGAAAACATTTACATTCATTGAAGTTGTTATGAATGCAACAAGATTGGTTTCGTAGCTAATAAGGTCCTCATCAGAAGAAAAGGGCATTTCACATCCTTTCTAAATCATATGAAAGCACCTGCAACTTAGAACTTACCAAATAAATTATGTAACGTTATTCCTCTTGGTGAACTTGGTAAGTCTGATTTGACTCACAGAGTTGGCAATGGAGGTATAGAGTATACACGGAAAGATACACTCCACAGAAGATTTTCTCTAACCTAGGCTGTGTAAAGTGCCTTCCTTCAAATAGAAGATGATGGAGTTGTGTTGGTCAACACTAGCTCACTTTCAGTCCCTTAACTTTAAAATATATAAACAAGGGAAACCAAAGCTACATTCAAAAAAATCAAAGAGCCTCCATTTGAGTGGGAGGGAGCTCAGAATTATGAACGGAGCACTGGAATGACATCTGAGACCTTGACATGCATTTTTTAAGTGAATATTGGAACATCTAATTTCAGTAAAAAGTTATTACTGCTGTACTATAATAATTCAGTACGTCTCTTTGGCCGTATAAAGTGTTTGTTAAGTGCTTTCAAATTATAATTATACCTGTTTTACACAGAGGTGAATGGAGGCATGTTAAGATCAAGGTCAAGGTCAGGCAGGGAGAGATTGGTAGACTCAGAAATATCCCCCAATAATTGGGACTACTCATGCCAAACACTAACCTCAGTCTCTTGAACCCTACTGGACACTTACCAATCATGCATTCCAAATCTGTCACTAACCCTGAAAGTAACGCTTAGAGAGGCTCATGCTGGGTTTTTTAATGTTCATTTGATAATTGTTTAAAATTGGTGCCACAAGCGAAGGTCCAATTTTAGATCAATTTTGAATCCCTGTAAGGAGAAATTCTCCCCTGGGCAGAGGACCATCACAAAGACCCTTGCTAAACTACAGTCCCTGATGAATCCTAGTTTGAATCTTTCAAGTTGGACTCAAAATGTCCATAGGCATCGTACTATCCCCCTGCCAAAGGGGGAATTTCAGATATAAGGTCCTGAAGGCAACAGAATGATTCCCATTGATTACAAAAGGAACTGGATCTGACCCAGTGCACGAAAATGCCTCCCTCCTTCCTACCGGGTACAAAATGAACTGCCCAATGCCCCAACAATGACCAGCATAAATTGAAAGGCCCAAACTGGATTCCTTCTTCAGATTCCCATGATATACAGCCTCATAATTTTCATATTAAAATTTCATTAATTGTAGCTTTACACTAATAATCACAAACAATGAGGAAAGCATTTACATCCATTGAAGTTGTTATGCATGCAACAAGATTGGTTTTGTATCGAATAATGTCCTCACCAGAAGTAAACAGTATCTCACGTACTTTCTAAATCATATGAAAGCACCTGCAACGTAGACCTTTTCAGATCATTTATCTAGCGTTATTCATCTTGGTGAACTTGGTAAGTCTGATTTGACTTACACAGTTGGCGGTGGAGGTACGCAGTATACACAGCAAGATACACCCCACACAAGGTTTTCTCTAACCTGGGCTGGGTAAAGTGTCTTCCTTCAAACAAGAGAAAACAAAACTACATTCAAAAAAATCAAAGATCCTTCCTTTGAGGGGGAGGGAGCTCAGAATGGCAAACGGAGTACTGGAATGACATCTGAGACCTTAACATACATTTTTAAAATGAATATTGGACCATCTAATTGCAGTAAAAAAGTTATTACTACTATAATAATACAGTACGTCTCTTTGGCCCTATAAAATGTTTGTGAAGTGCTTTCAAATTATAATTATACCTGTTTTACACAGAGGTGAATGGAGGTATGTTAAGGTCAAGGTCAAACAGGGCATGATTGACAAAATCAGAAAAACCCCCCAATAGTTGGGACTACTCATGCCTAACACTAACCTCAATCTCTTGAACCCTACTGGACACTTACCAATCATGGCTTCCAAATCTGACACTAACCCTGAAAGAAACTCTTAGAGAGGCTCATTCTATATTTTTTTAGTGTAGTTTCTATTTAGTGTAGCTTTACACTATTAATCACAAACAATGAGGAAAGCATTTACATCCATTGAAGTTGTTATGCATGCAACAAGATTGGTTTTGTAGCGAATAATGTCCTCACCAGAAGTAAACAGTATCTCACGTACTTTCTAAATCATATGAAAGCACCTGCAACTTAGACCTTTTCAGATCATTTATCTAGCA